AATACCACCATAAAACACAATTTCAATGTACGTGTGTGTAGAATGCAGTTCAAATTAGGCTACAGATGCAATAAGTTATGATGAACTTCACAGGGTGGTGAAAGTATATGGTATGAGCTTGATGTTCCTTTCCAATAAATGTCAAGGGTCTTATTCTGGCGACATGATGATCGATGCTTGACTGCCATTTTGACAAAGAAAAATATTTTTGCTCTTATCCATAATCTCATCATGTAGACTAGACTACCCACACTGTATCTGCGAGCTGTTGGCTAGAGAGCATGTGCCAAGACCAGAGTAGGCACATTTGCTATTAAATGCAACAGTTTTTGTGACAAAACTATCGGTAGAGTTGAAAACATGACGGAAACACATTGAACATTCAAAAAATTTTCAGTACATGAAAATGTATGCAAAAAAGTACATTTTATGCACACTGCGTCATCACACACTGATGTTTATGTGCAACGAGTCTGTTTGGTGTAAACATCATTGGTGGGAAAATTCGCATCTTTTCTTTATGCAGATTATTTTATATTCGCATGAAAATCTTTCGCCAATTGGATGGAAACCTAGCTCATTGAAACGTGTATTTTTTTGTTTTTTTGTCTTTGAACCCATTGAAGCCTAGTCCTAAACTAAAAAGCACTTTCAATAGGGAATCTCCATTGAGCATGCTTTTCAATCCAGGAAACCAGCCAAAAATGTACCTTACCAACATGTCATATCATCTCATTCAGTCATCTTATTCTGACATCTCATGTCATCCTCATATTATGATATGAGAGATGTCCAACATGGTCTACAGAGGTGAGTACCTGGTCACTGCTACATTGGTGTAGAGAAAAATAAAATCTGACTGAGTCTGCACCATAGCTACGGGAAGTAGGGGTGCTGAGGATGCTGCAGCACCTCCTGATACATCACAATTACACCCTGATAAATTACCCAAAAACATATTCCCGCAGCCAGGGTCTGCAGGTCTGTGAACTCTTGACCTCTGTGTCCTCACTTCAAAGCCTCTCCCCCAGCAGCTTCACAACATCTGCATTCCTTTCAGGTTTCCAGTATGTGTTATGGTGCAGTAAACCTGGGTTGGCCCATCCACAATCATCACATTATATCACAAAGGAGTATCTGACAGGGTTATGATTTTGGAAACACCCCGGAATACACTGGGAATAGTGAGTTGAATGTGTGGAGGTTAGTGTGTTTTGAGCTTTCTGGCATAAAATGGCTGCCGTGGCATCCCCCAACTGGGTGCTAAGCATTGGTAGGGGATGAGGTAAGTTTCCCCCACATACAATGTAAAGCCTTTTGAGCACCTGGAAAAAGTATAAATCCAACCCAGTCACATTACAAGTCAGTCTAGACTCCTGTCATCACTGCACAATTTGTTCAGCTGTCATTGTAAACACACCTGAGGTCAATGTAAATAGGCTAGGCCATAGATTACATTCACAGGGCATAGGTGAATGGTGTGTGCCTGTGTCCGCAGATCTCCAAATTCATTACTGCTTACAGTGTTGCAAACAACAGCTGTGCCCATTGTAAGCGGCCACGTTTTTTTGTTGTATCTTCAATCAAAAAGAGCGACACAGCTTGAATTTGTCCCCACGCCGCTGTTGGTCTAACATTGATTCCAAAGTTCTAAAAAGGTCCAGGTTGCACCTGTTGATATTGAGTTTCGGAAATGATTTATGTTATAAGCCACACACCGTTTTAACTGTTGTGAGTCATGGCAATAATGCAGAGCTCCATTGCAAATACTTTTCAGCAAGTGTAATGACCGTAGGCATAACTTTATCATAGGACTGGGCTTCCCCATGACCATAGCTGCTAAACCTCTATATTAGCCTACTAACAAACTAAACAAAAAGGAAGAACATGGATGACAGCAACTCAGAAAATGATCTTTAAATTCAATGCCAAAGAACGCATGTCCACAAAGGGGTATTATTTGCATTAATTCCATATGTGAAGAATTAGTAGTTTACCGTTGTTGATTATTTTCATTTGATGTAGTGGTGTCCAAAGGCTTTATGTGGGAAGAATAACAGTAATTACTTTGTCCCATGTCAAAATCTCCCCTGTTCATCATTACAAGCATATTAAGGCAAGTCATTACTTGCCATTAGCAAAATAAGTAGTTCACACATTCATGGTAGTCAGCTTTATCTCACACCGCTCAGAAACGACCCACTCTTTGTCTACCTTCTCTGTCACCAAGTTCAAATACAGTGACGCTTCATTGCCCAATAAAACTTTATGGCTGGTCCCCATGTGGATGGCGAGCACTGTTGATATGCATATCAGACAAGGCAGGCAGTAACAGATTCACTCAATAATAAGTGATCGGGTCCAGTTACCACCAGCCTGACTGACACACCACAAACAGGATCATAGGGGTATCCTACAACGCAGTATCAATGAGTTAGCCAGCTAACTTTGATAAATAACCAGAAATAACTATAGATTTTCTGGTCCATTAAGAAAGCTAAACTTAGATATGTATTTTTGGTTATTCAGTCAATTAGATCATGCCCATTTCAATCTTATCTTTCAAAAAAAATAAAAATATTTCACAAATGTAGGCAAGTTAGCTGGCTAACTCATTGATCCTGCTTTGTAGTATACCCTTCTGGTGTTGTGGCTGCTGCTGTGTCAACAGATGCATGGACATTCTGCTATACGTGTCTGTATAGAGCATGCATTGCATACAACCACATAGGACAAAGCTATACAGACGGGGAGCACACAGACGGAGAGCACGCACACATTACCCCGGTTTTAAGGTCTCTGCACTGGCTGCCTGTGAGTTTTAGAGTTCATTTTAAGATTATTCTATTGGTTTTTAAACCAATCCACAATTGCGCACCCCAATACATGTCAGACATCCTTTTAAGTTATGTACCCAGTAGGTCCCTCAGGTCCTCTGGCACTGCCGTTTTAACTATCCCAAAGCCTAGGACCAAGAGGCATGGAGAGGCAGCCTTTAGTTGTTATGCCCCCAGCCTCTGGAATAGCCTGCCAGAGAAACTGAGGGGGGCCGAAACTGTGGACATACTGTATTTACGAGATCTTAAAACACACCCTTTTTTAGCTTTGCTTTACCTTAGGGTGCTTTTTAGTCATTCCGTTTTTATTGTTATCCTCATGTTTGTGTAGTAAATATTTCTGTTTTTATTTTAATTGTTTTTCTTGTTTTGTTTTGTTTAACCTGTGAAGCACATTGCATTGCATTCCATGTCTGAAATGTGCTGCATAAATAAAGCTTGATTTAATTTGATACAATCAACAGGAAAAAAGCACTTCTAAATGTGTCTATGGAGACTAGAGCAGCGTTTTCTAATTACTTTTATAGGGGTTTCAAGTTTCTCTGCTCCTCATTCTTTTGAAGAGGATTGAAAAAAACACCACTCTTATAGTATTTCATAGAGCCGATGGTTGCCAGATTCACCAAAAGGATTGTTATGGGGAGGGAGGGACATCTATGCTATGTTGTCTAGGCCACATTTCTCGTGGCTCTCACAGACAACACTAGTCACCTTTTTTGTTTGCAGGGACTTCCCCCCCAAAAACCACCAAGTTCAGAATTAGAAACAAACCATACCATTTATTCACGAGTCAAAACACAAACAGTAATTCAAAAGCAAAGCCTATAGATGGAAGGGTGTTGTTGGAGAGAAGGGCCTACATTTTCTAAATAGCCTGACGAGTCATCTCTTACCTGAAGAATGTATATTGAGGGACAACTTTTAAGTGCTCAGGTACTCTACATAAATAGGTTGATTTATATATTTGGTACTGTGTAAAACGCAGTGCAGTGTCTTACTATGATCAGGTTCACTCCACTCTTTTGAGAAACCATATAAATGCATGTAGCTATGAGGTGCATACTCAAATACTATACTGAACAAAAATATAAACAACAATTTCAAAAGATTATACTGAGTTACAGTTCATATAGGGAAATCAGTCAATTTAAATAAATAAATTGGGCCCTAATCTACGGATTTCACGACTGCGCAGGGGGCGCAGCCATGGGTGGGCCTGGGAGGGAATATAGCCCCAGCCACTGGGGAGCCAGGCCAAGCCAATCAAAATGAGTTTTTATTACAGACAGAAATACTTATCCGTTTCATCACCTGTCCGGGTGGCTGGTCTCAGACAATCCCGCAGGTGAAAAAGCCGGATGTGGAGGTCCTGGGCAGGCGTGGTTACAAGTGGTCTGCAGTTGTGAGGCCAGTTGGACAAATTCTCTAAAACTAAGGTGGAGGCAGCTTGTGGTAGAGAAATTACCATTCAATTATTTGGCAACAGCTATGGTGGACATTCCTGCAGTCCAGCATGCCAATTGCACGCTCCCTCAAAACTTGAGACATCTGTGGCATTGCGTGACAAAATGGCACATTTTAGAGTGGCCTTTTATTGTCCCCAGCATAAGGTGCACCTGTGTAAAGACAATGCTGTTTAATCAGCTTCTGGATATGCCATACCTGTCAGGTGGATGGATTATCTTGGCAAAGGAGAAATGCTCACTAACAGGGATGTAAACAAATTTGTGCACCATATTTGAGAGAAATAAGCTTTTTGTGCGTATGGAATATTTCCGGGATCTTTATTTTAGCTCATGAAACATGGGACCAATACTTTACATGTTGCGTTTATATTTTTGTTCAGTATACTTTCAGAATGTGCAAGTTCAAATGGACTAGGCAATCACAATAAAGTGCAAAATAATATAAAACATAATGAATTGGGAAGTCACAGTAATTTACTAAGGAATACCCCAAAACTGAGTTAGTGGGCGTAGAAACTGTATCGTAAGTCCGAGGCCCATCTTTGTGAAAACATGGTGCCTAGCTTGCAGAGACATGACCACAATCATGCACAAGGGGGGTCAGTTTGAGGTCCTGCGTGTGTGTCCATCTAAGCTCGGGAAGAGGGGCGTTCTGGTGTCCTCCTCACAGAAGACAAACAGGGCTGAAGGAAATGTATCAGTTCTCAAGGAAAGCCACGTAGTCAGTGAGTCTGGCCAGCTGCTGCTCGTTTGGAACCAGCGAGACAGGGGGAGGATCTGTTGAGAGAGAGAGAGAGAGCGAGAGAGAGAGAGTGAGTAAGAGAGGGATTCCTCATAGAGCCAAGTCTTCTACCATGTAGCATCCTCCATCTGTGTGTGTGTCAGGGTTTCCGTTATGAAAATGTGGTGCAGGACATTTGACCAGCAGCATTTACCAGACATTTTCTAAATTTACTGGAACCATAGGGCTATGCATTGGGTGCGTAACCTGATTATGGCATTCACCCACGGTGATCAGAATGACAGAAATCACATTTAGATTATAGTGAATTAGTCTCAACAGAACATGTAAGTCGAGGATGCAATGACTTGTGTCTTACTGACCGTGCACTTTGTAGATGTTAGAATAACTGTCGACATTTACATTTCCTCAGCCAACAAGACGAGTAACGAAAAGCAAAATCACTAGCCTAGGCGGTGCGTGATTTTTGGGGGAGCTAATTTTCACCATAACAATGCAACTGTATAATAAAACATTCCATGCATCATCGCATTTGCAGACTTACAGTGGGGGAAAAAAGTATTTAGTCAGCCACCAATTGTGCAAGTTCTCCCACTTAAAAAGATGAGGCCTGTAGTTTTCATCATAGGTACACGTCAACTATGACAGACAAAATGAGAAAAAGAAATCCAGAAAATCACATAGTAGGATTTTTAATGAATTTATTTGCAAATTATGGTGGAAAATAAGTATTTGGTCAATAACAAAAGTTTCTCAATACTTTGTTATATACCCTTTGTTGGCAATGACACAGGTCAAACGTTTTCTGTAAGTCTTCACAAGGTTTTCACACACTGTTGCTGGTATTTTGGCCCATTCCTCCATGCAGATCTCCTCTAGAGCAGTGATGCTTTGGGGCTGTCGCTGGGCAACACAGACTTTCAACTCCCTCCAAAGATTTTCTATGGGGTTGAGATCTGGAGACTGGCTAGGCCACTCCAGGACCTTGAAATGCTTCTTACGAAGCCACTCCTTCGTTGCCCGGGCGGTGTGTTTGGGATCATTGTCATGCTGAAAGACCCAGCCACGTTTCATCTTCAATGCCCTTGCTGATGGAAGGAGGTTTTCACTCAAAATCTCACGATACATGGCCCCATTCATTCTTTCCTTTACACGGATCAGTCGTCCTGGTCCCTTTGCAGAAAAACAGCCCCAAAGCATGATGTTTCCACCCCCATGCTCCACAGTAGGTATGGTGTTCTTTGGATGCAACTCAGCATTCTTTGTCCTCCAAACACAACGAGTTGAGTTTTTACCAAAAAGTTCTATTTTGGTTTCATCTGACCATATGACATTCTCCCAATCCTCTTCTGGATCATCCAAATGCACTCTAACAAACATCAGACGGGCCTGGACATGTACTGGCTTAAGCAGGGGGACACGTCTGGCACTGCAGGATTTGAGTCCCTGGCGGCGTAGTGTGTTACTGATGGTAGGCTTTGTTACTTTGGTCCCAGCTCTCTGCAGGTCATTCACTAGGTCCCCCCGTGTGGTTCTGGGATTTTTGCTCACCGTTCTTGTGATCATTTTGACCCCACGGGGTGAGATCTTGCGTGGAGCCCCAGATCGAGGGAGATTATCAGTGGTCTTGTATGTCTTCCATTTCCTAATAATTGCTCCCACAGTTGATTTCTTCAAACCAGGCTGCTTACCTATTGCAGATTCAGTCTTCCCAACCTGGTGCAGGTCTACAATTTTGTTTCTGGTGTCCGTTGACAGCTCTTTGGTCTTGGCCATAGTGGAGTTTGGAGTGTGACTGTTTGAGGTTGTGGACAGGTGTCTTTTATACTGATAAGTTCAAACAGGTGCCATTAATACAGGTAACGAGTGGAGGACAGAGGAGCCTCTTAAAGAAGTTGTTACAGGTCTGTGAGAGCCTGAAATCTTGCTTGTTTGTAGGTGACCAAATACTTATTTTCCACCATAATTTGCAAATAAATTCATAAAAAATCCTACAATGTGATTTTCTGGAGAAAAAAAATCTCAATTTGTCTGTCATAGTTGACGTGTACCTATGATGAAAACTACAGGCCTCATCTTTTTAAGTGGGAGAACTTGCACAATCGGTGGCTGACTAAATACTTTTTTTCCCCCACTGTATTTGGGCTGCAATGTCAGAGGCTGGTAACTCTAATGAACTTATCCTCTGCAGCAGAGGTAATTCTGGGTCTTCCATTCCTGTGGCGGTCCTCATGAGAGCCAGTTTCATCATAGCGCTTGATGGTTTTTGCGACTGCACTTGAAGAAACTTTCAAAGTTCTTGAAATTGTATGGATTGACTGACCTTCATGTCTTAAAGTAATGATGGACTGTCATTTCTCTTTGCTTATTTGAACTGTTCTTGCCATAATATGGACTTGGTCTTTTACCAAATAGGGCTATCGTCTTTATACCAACCCTACCTTCTCACAACACAACTGATTGGCTGAAACGCATTAAGGAGGAAATAAATTCCACAAATTAACTTTTAACAAGGCACACCTGTTAATTGAAATGCATTCCAGGTGACTACCTCATGAAGCTGGTTGAGAGAATGCCAAGAGTGTGCAAAGCTGTCATCAAGGCAAAGGGTGGCTACTTTGAAGAATCTCAAATATAAAATATATTTTGATTTGTTTAACACTTTTTTGGTTACTACATGATTCCATATATGTTATTTCATAGTTTTTATGTCTTCACTACTATTCTACAATGTAGAAAACAGTAAAAATTAAGAAAAACCCTGAATGAGAAGGTGTGTCCGAACTTTTGACTGGTACTGTATGTGCCACAGATGCTCAGCATGACAGTCTGCTGATTAGAGAGAGAGGGGCTGTTACACTGCCCCAGACACAGCCCGCAAAATGTTTCCATAAATAAATATGTCTCGTACAAGACTGATCAACAAGCCACCCACTGGGCTTGTCAACAGTTAGGATTGGAGGGAAAAGAAGGGCGGATGAGGTGATGTGAGTTGAGGGGAGGGGGAAGAGGAGGGAAGGGAGGAGGACAAGGAGCGAACAACGAGCGAGCGCTTCGATGGTTACGAAGGGGATGAAAGAGAACACGAGTGGGGGGGAAGAAGGAAAGCATGATGTGTGAGAAATAATAAGAGGGATATCTGATGTTGCTCTTTCTTGGGACCTGTTTTTTCCCAGTTACACAGGGACAGAATGTCTCAGAGGTAGGCCAGCCAAAGGAAACAGAACAGTAATATGGGGGTGAAAATGTGCGGAGAAAAAGCTATGAGAGCCCACGAATACACGAGAAGGACAGAGATGAGGGGAAAGTAAGGGCGGTGAGGAGGAGTGGAGTCAGCGCCTAAGCCAGTTATGAATGACCCCATAATTCACAGCTCTGGACCCAGTGCTCTCACACACGGCATATGGTTAAATGGAGCGTATGGGAGAATGACAGTCTGGTGGAAAGAGCTATCAGCCCCGGAAGAGGGCGTGATTGGGCAAAGTCGGGAAAAGAGGCTCAGGCATGACAAACAGCCTATTGACGGGAGAAAAGAGAAGGGCAACAGCTCCACCTACCTGGCTTTTGGGGCATCACCATCCTGCTGGCAGGGTCCGCCTGCCAACCCTGGCTCACCACCCCTGTGGGAGGGAGAAAGGGAAAGGGAGAAAAGAGAGAGGAGGGTTGTGTGGAGAAAAGGAGGACAAAATAAGCGGAGAGAGAGGAAAAGGGAAAAGTTAGAGACCCTATTTACCGGTTTAAACTTGAAGTCACATGAAGAGATTAGGGATATACAAAACGATGGTATTCGACTGTGTTATTGATCCGGTAGCCAGATGGTAGTGAGCATAGATTAGGTTTTTTGCATGGCAACTGCTTACCCTTCACGGCTTCCTCCACGGAGTAGCCCACAAAGGCAGCAAAGTCTTCTGCCATGATGGAGGTGTACGCCTGGGCCACCAGGCCATACGCCCTCCTACGAGTGGTCTCTGTGGGAGTAAAGATGGGTACACACGTGAGATGTTTGCATTTAAGAGAGAGACACTTTCGGTTTTTCAAACATGCGAAAAAATATAATGCCTAATTTAAACTGCACAACGTGGAGTCCTGCCCCATGGTCAAAAAGTAATGTTATTGTACTACTCATGTAGCAGTGCTAATAACAATTTGGCTATACTTGGATTGAGAAATAGCAAGTAAAATAGGCCTACAGTGCAAGGCGGAGGTAAGGAAAAGTATAGCACAAAACAAGGTCAGAGTATGATTTTGTCATGAGTCAAGAGTGGGTCAAATGCTGCTTATGGGGTCAATGGCGCCGAAGGAGATGGCTGCCGTTTTATGGGCTCCTAACCAATTGTGCTATTGTGTGTGTTTTTTCGCGTTATTTGTAACTTATTTTGTACATAATGTTTCTGTCACCGTCGCTTATGACCGAAAAGAGCTTCTGGATATCAGGACAGCGATTACTCTCCTTGTACTGGACCCCCAAAAAATCTTTAACGAGTCGGAAACTAATAATTTTTTTCAAACACCTGACAAAAGCCCAAATCCCCGTCATTCGCATGAGAAAGAGACGGAGATAATGGGGATGTAGGTCGGGGTGCCTTGCAAGGATCTGACGGCGAGTGCGTAATCTGCCTCTACCATCTGTCCTATTAGCCAACGTACAATCATTGGATAAAAAAATAGACAAACTAAGATCACGGATATCCTACCAACGGGACATTAAAACCTGTAATATCTTGTGTTTTATGAGTCGTGGCTGAACGACGACAGCTGGTGGGATATACGCTGCATCGGCAAGATAGAACAGCTGCCTCCGGTAAGACAAGGGGTGGCGGTCTGTGTATATTTGTAAACAACAGCTGGTGCACAAAATCTAATATTAAGAAAGTCTCGAGGTATTGCTCACCTGAGGTAGAGTATCTCATGATAAGCTGTAGACCACACTATTTACCAAGAGAGTTTATCTATATTTTTCGTAGCTGTCTGTTTACCACCACAAACTGATGCTGGCACTCAATGAGCTGTATAAGGCCATAAGCAAAAAGGGAAACGCTCATCCAGAGGTGGCGCTCCTACAGGCCGGGGACTTTAATGCAGGGAAACTTAAATCCGTTCTACCAGCATGTTAAACGTGCAACCAGAGAAACAAAAACAAAAAAACTCTAGACCACCTTTACTCCACACACAGAGATGCGTTCAAAGCTCTCCCTCGTCCTATATTTGGCAAATCTGACCATAACTCTATCCTCCTGATTCCTGCTTACAAGCAAAAACTAAAGCAGGAAGAACAAGTGACTCGCTCAATAAAGAAGTGGTCAGATGACGCAGATGCTAAGCTACAGGACTGTTTTGCTAGCACGGAACTCTAACCCGGACGCTTACACAAAATCCTACTATGCCCTCCGACAAACCATCAAACACGCAAAGCGTCAATACAGTACTACACCAGCTCCGACGCTCGTCGGATTTGGCAGGGCTTGCAAACTATTACAGTCACGAGCTGCCCAGTGACACAAGCATGCAAGACGAGCTAAATTACTTCTATGCTCGCTTCGAGGCAAGCAACACTGAAGCATGCATGAGAGCATCAGCTGTTCCGGAAAACTGTGTGATCACGCTCTCCGTAGCCGATGTGAGTAAGACCTTTAAACAGGTCAACATTCACAAGGCCGCAGGGCCACGGATTACAAGGACGTGTACTCCGAGCATGCGCTGACCAACTGGCAAGTGTCTTCACTGACATTTTCAACCTGTCCATGACTGAGTCTGCAATACCAACATGTTTCAAGCAGACCACCATAGTCCCTTTGCCCAAGAACACTAAGGTAACCTGCCTAAATGACCACTGACATCTGTAGCCATGAAGTGCTTTGAAAGGCTGGTCATGTCTCACAACACCATTATCCCAGAAACCCTACATCCCCACCCCAATTTGCATACCGCCCCAACAGATCCACACTGCCCTTTCCCACCTGGACAAAAGGAACACCTACATGATAATTATATTCATTGACTACAGCACAGCGTTCAACACCATATTGCCCTCAAAGCTCATCACTAAGCTAAGGACCCTGGGACTAAACATCTCCCTCTGCAACTGGATCCTGGACTTCCTGACGGGCCGCCCCTAGGTGGTAAGGGTAGGTAACAACACATCTGCTACGCTGATCCTCAACACGAGGGCCCCTCAGGGGTGCGTGCTTAGTCCCCTCCTGTACTCCCTGTTCACCCATGACTGCATGGCCAGGCACGACTCCAACACCATCATTAAGTTTGCCGACGACACAACAGTGGTAGGCCTGATCACCGACAACGATGAGACAGCCTATAGGGAGGAGGTCAGAGACCTGGCCGTGTGGTGCCAGGATAACAACCTCTCCCTCAACGTGATCAAGACAAAGGAGATAATTGTGGACTACAGGAAAAATAAGAGGACCGAGCACGCCTCCATTCTCATCGAAGGGGCTGTAGTGGAGCAATTTATAGCCTAGCAACAGTCTGTGTACCAACAACCCCCCATTCGTAACAGTGTTACCGGCAGAAACATAACTGGGACAAGTGGAGACAGCTGTGAGGGCGGGCGCAGTGCCTGTCCAGGGTTTTTCCCACTTTCTTCTCCCCAAAGAGCTTCCTGTTATCAATGTTACTTAATTTTCTGAACAAATGCCACATTGGGTTTTACCTACAGGCACTTGTTAAGGTGAGAATGAAAACAACTTTACAATGGAATCTGAAGGCATGATGCAAGAGAGCCGTAAGAGTACTTGTGAAACTGGCCAACTAGGACTAAGCTGTAGTGTGTGTGTATGTGTGTTTGTTGTCACGCCTCTTCCAAATAAACACATTGTTCTTCTGAGTACTACAGCTGAGCAAAAATAAATGAGAAAGACAACGCCCATGGCATTGGCCCAGAATAAAATGAAGGAAACTCAACCAATATCCTTCCAACCCCATTATGCAGCCTACTGTATAACACAATTGAGAGCCAGAGCATTATCAACTGGTGTGCCCGAGTAATATATCTGAAGTGTGTTGACTCGTCCTGCCTTTTAAAGTAGACCTACAAAATGCCCAACATGTATCATGAGCAAGGCGAATGCCCCACCCACCTGAGGATCTATCTTTTTCAGCCATCTACAGTGCATTCGTAAAGTATTCAGACCCCTTGACCTTTTCCACTGTTACATTACAGCCTTATTCTAAAACTGATTAAATGTGTTTTTCCCCTCAATCTACACACAATACCCCATAATGACAAAGCAAAAATAGGTTCTTAGAAACTTTTGAAAATTTATAAAAAATACAAAACTTAAATATTACATTTACATACATTTTCAGACCCGTTACTCAGTACTTTGTTGAAGCGCCTTTGTCAGCGATTACAGCCTCGAGTCTTCTTGGGTATGACGCTACAAGCTTGGCACACCTGTATTTGGGGAGTTTCTCCCATTCTTCTCTGCAGATCCTCTCAAGTTCTGTCAGGTTGGATGGGGAGCGTCGCTGCACAGCTATCGGGTTCAAGTCCAGGCTCTGACTGGGCCACTCAAGGACATTCCGAGACTTGTCCCGAAGCCACTCCTGCGATGTTTTGGCTGTGTGCTTAGGGTCGTTGTCCTGTTGGAAGGCAAACATTCGCCCCAGTCTGAGGTTCTGAGCGCTCTGGAGCAGGTTTTCATCAAGGATCTCTCTGTACAGTGCTCCGTTCATCTTTCCCTCGATGCTGACTAGTCTCCCAGTCCCTGCTGCTGAAAAACATCCCCACAGCATGATGCTGCCACCACCATGATTCACTGTAGGGATGGTGCCAGGTTTCCTCCAGACGTGATGCTTGGCATTCAGGCCAAAGAGTCCAATCTTGGTTTCATCAGACCAGAGAATCTTGTTCCTCATGGTCTGAGAGTCTTTAGGTGCCTTTTGCAAACTCCAAGCGGGCTGTCATGTGCCTTTTACTGAGGAGTGGCTTCCGTCTGGCCACTCTACCATAAAGGCCTGATTGGTGGTGCTGCAGAGATGGTTGTCCTTCTGGAAGGTTCTCCTATCTCCACAGAGGAACTCTGGAGCTCAGTCAGAGTGATCATCAGGTTCTTGGTCACCTCCCTCACCAAAGCCCTTCTCCCCCGATTGCTCAGTTTGGCCGGGCAGCCAGCTCGAGTCTTGGTGGTTCCAAACTTCTTCCATTTAAGAATGATGGAGCCCACTGTGTTTTCAGGGACCTTCAATGCTGCAGACATTTTTTGGTACCCTTACCCAGATCTGTGCCTCGACACAATCCTGTCTTGGAGCTCTACGGACAATTCCTTCGACCTCATGCCTTGGTTTTTGCTCTGACATGTGGGACCTTATATAGAGAGGTGTGTGCCTTTCCAAATCATGTCCAATCAATTGAATTCACCACAGGTGGACTCCAATCAAGTGGTAGAAACATCTCAAGGATGCACAGGATGCACCTGAACTCAATTTCGAGTCTCATAGCAAAGGGTCTGAATACTTATGTACATACGTTTATTTTTTATTATAAATTAGCAAAAAAATAAAAAAAATCTGTTTTTGCTTTGTCATTATGGGTTATTGTGTGTAGATTGAAGAAATTGTTTTATTTAATCTATTTTAGAATAAGGCTGTAACGTAACAAAATGCGGAAAAAGTCAAGGGGTCTGAATACTTTCCGAATGCACTGTATTTCCTGTGTTTGAGGGGTGTAAAATCCATGTCACTTAAATCTCGCTCGATTGATTGAGTTCATTTTACTCTTGCGCCTCTTTCATACTCTTGCTTGTGCCTCTCGTTTTTCCCCGTTAATGTTATGACCATGGAAATGTTTGTAAGGTCAAACACACTCCGTTAATGGCTGAAATGGACTCAATGGAATATATTGTCTTTATGTTGAATCTATAAGAACGCTAAAGCTTTGTCAGTGATTTAACGCATAACCTTATTTAGCTGGGTGTAAAAAATATTTATAGTTGAAATGTTTAGAAATG